GCATAGAATCACAGAAAAGATCACTTGTATCACCCAGTCTGACCCTTAGCAAGATAACTGCCTGCATCACTTCATCTAATGTCTTATCTAAACTTGTTCTGCAAAGAGAATGCCTTCACTACCTCCTCTGATAGCAATCTAGGTATTGAAATAGAATTTCTGATCTTTTCCCAATTAAATGTAAGCATACAACATTAATGCAACATTAACAGCGTATAGTTAAGCAACAACAGTTCATCCAATGTAAAAGTTAAGGTTGAACACACCCCCTTAACTCTATCCCATTGCATGCATGGTCATTCTATCTTTAAATTTATGAGGGTGCATAATATTTCTGACCAATATATTATAGCAGTTTTTTCTACAACTTTAGGCAAAGATGTAGCATATACCTTCAATAACATGATCACTGTATAAATGCAAGAAGGTAAAATTTAGGTTGAGCATTCAACCATAACTTTTGAATTTCTGGGCTTTGGGGTGCTTGAATGTGCAGTCCTAGCAAATATAGGTTTTTGCATATCATTTCCGAGACTTTTAAGAAGAAAAATGTTTCCAGCTCACCGACACCACCAAAGACAAAGGTTGCCTATAAATGTCATTAGTAATTTGTGGACTCAAATAGTATTAGTGTGAAAATGAATGCTTAGCTTGTAATACCTGGGCATTTATCCCACGGCAGCATCAGTTCCTCTTATCTCCCTGTTATTTCTGTATACAAACTCAATATGTATTGTTTTGCAAACTTCACTGAGACTTGAGTTACTTCCAAAACCACAAAAATATCACTGTTTGCCTAATCCAAGATTGCTTCTGTTATACCCGATTCCTGTAAGAGTCCCATGTTGGATTAATAGCTTGATACCATTTTAATGAGCTTAATACTAAATTTTAAATTCAATGCAAGATTTTGGAAGTAATGATTACTTCAAGAAGGGCATCCAAAAATACAATGAATACTACATTAAATAAAGGAGTAGGTCCATTGCAAAGCATACGGAAATGGATTCACATTTTAGGGTATATCTTCATTATAGAGTTGGCACATGGATTAGCCTAGCCTGGTGTGAGCATTCCCACAGCAAAGGCACATTTGTGTTATTGTGTCCTCCCTCATGCGGTCTTTGTTGCAGAGCTAACTCGGGGTCTTATTTGAGTGTTGCCCCTAATCTCTCGCCCGTCCACACAAAAAACCCTTTCACCTGAGTTTTGCAGTGCTTAAATTCTGGCTTAGCTGGAAGAGTGGTTTAGACCTCAGGGGCTGCTTTCACTTGGGCTGGTAACTCATCCACTTTTCAGTAAGGATGCAGGAAAAGTCACTTGAGGGCTGATAGTTCTCCTATTCATGTCCCTGCCCCCCTGTACCCAGAAGGAAAGACAAGTTCTTCCACAATCCACTGGGAAAGAATCAGAGCGGCACCATTTACCGGAGCACATGCCCCATAAATCCTAGCGACACACTCGAGTGGTGCACCAGTGAGGATGTAGTAATTTTGCGGTGGGCTTTGCAGCGTGATTGCTCACACCTGTGCTATGCTAAGCAGGATGACAATACCCAGAGACAACAAGGAGTCTGGTGGCACCTTAAAGACTAACAGATTTATTTGGGCATAAGCTTTCGCGGGTAAAAACCTCACTTCATCAGATGCATCTGAAGGCCACTCTAAAGGAGGTAGAGCGACTCCATTCAGGATAACCTGGGAACCCCCAGAGTAGGGCAATGGCTGTTTCAAGTGCGATGTAAGGAAAAAAAAAATTTCTTGCTGCGTTTTTCACTACTTTACGTTTGCATCACTAGTTGTGCAATTAGATCAAATCCTGCAGTAGCACAAACACTGTGCTTCTGCTGTGCAGTGCAGTCAGGATATGAAGAGGCAAGAGTGGACTCTACCCTCCCAGTGCAGCAGCAGTGCTATTCAATGGCAGAATGGGAGCGTGGTGGACGCATGGACCGTGAGTCTATGAATTCTCTTGATCCTTTGGAATACAACAATCTCATTGAAAAAGGAGACATAAAAGGAGAACTAGAGCGAGCCAGGAAGGTGCTCTGAACTCGGTAACAAGACATGAGGAGAAACTCTCCTTTTAACACCCTGTACAATAACCCCTACTCAAGACTTGGGCTGGGGACCAGGATTTCACCCATAAGGAAGACATTTTATTTGAAACAGATTATTAAGTATGTTGCTCTGGTTTACAGAGAAAAACAGAGAACAGTTTTGTTTTGCCAAACCTTTGGCTTTACTTGGTCAAAGCAGAGCTGATACAAGTGGTTTGGAAGAGTTTTAAACAGTTTTTTGGAGCTAGATTGCAGCATTTAGCCACATCACTTGAAGGCCTAGTGCAGAGCCACAATGCCCCAGGGAAAGCTTGGGTTGAGATTGCACTTTAAAAGATAATTCTCCCCTCTTCTCCCCCCAGACTGCAAACTCCAGACCCTTCTCCTCCCAGTGCATTTGGCCAGCTTTGAAGGCTGGTATGGGGGGCGGGGTCACATGGCTATGTTTCCCCTCACTTTTGGGGGTGATGTGTACTTTTGACAGTGCACAAGTGAACTCTCACTGAGCTCACGAGAGTGAGGACGGTAATTTTCCTTGATCTGTGCAGAGGATGGACCCTGTGAAGCCTCCTCTCCCAACACTGCTCACCCATACTAGAGCCAGAGAAAATCTGGCTCTTTACTATTTTTCTGCAGAGACAAACAAAACCCTTTTTAAGAACAATGTATTCCAGCATATTCCAATGCAGAAACAAATGCTCAAAATCAAATAATATTTTGGCTGGATATATCTACTTCATTCACTTTTCAGAATACCAGTGCTGTAATGCTACTTGTAACATGCTGCTGTGAGAACATAAATCTAAATGTGAACCCAGTAAAAAACTAGGCCTTTCACAACACACTTTAAAAATAAAATCCTTGCAACATAGTAATCACTTGACTATATACAGGTTTATATTTCTGCAGTCACCCAGGTGACATATTGGATTCCAATATTGTGTTTTCTTTTCCTGTGAAGAATGCACAAAATCTTGCTCTTTGAGATTCACTGAGCACCACAATTCCTTTATTGGTACCATGTTTCTAAAAATCCTAAGTGAGGCACATTCATTTGATAAGAATAGTCTAATTAAGATTTCAAATGGAAGATGGGTTTTAGGAATCACCCATTTTAGGTTTTCAGTTGTTTTTAAATTCATGTTTTTAATTGTTTATTCAAACATATTGTCCCTTACATACCTCTAATCCACATTTAGCAAGGAATAATGGCCCACTTAAATGATTGCTGACAATGGAGCAATTTCCCAAATGCTTTCAAAGAAAAATAAAAGCTCAAGCTCATTTTATAAATATTAAGATTCTAAATAGTTTTAAATCACAACTACAATCTACAGTGATGAACTCTTCCACTAATTGCTTCCTGGATTTGGGACTTCATTTTCATGTGAAAAAAAAAATTTTTTCCCCCTCAAAATCTTACCTCGGCTTTACTTTTAGGGTAGGTCTACACTTACCTCCGGGTCCAGCGGTAAGCAATCGATCTTCTGGGATCGATCCCGGAAGTGTTCGCCGTCGACGCCGGTACTCCAGCTCGGCGAGAGGAGTACGCGGCATCGACGGGGGAGCCTGCCTGCCGCGTCTGGACCCGCGGTAAGTTTGAACTAAGGTACTTCGAATTCAGCTACGTTATTAACGTAGCTGAATTTGTGTACCTTAGTTCGAAATGGGGGGTTAGTGTGGACCAGGCCTTAGATAGCATCCTAATAAAACCCCTTTGGTGAGTTCCTGACTTACAATCTCTGTCAGACAACCAGTATTACACTGTACTATGGGCTCTCTTTTCAGCTGGGTACTCTGCTTTGATGCATTCAAGTCACAGCTATGTAGCTATTCAGAAATGCAGCATTCAAGTAGATATTTATTTTTAAACTGACCCATCCAGAACTGCACTGCAAAAATGACATCCTGCCAAAAACAAAACAAAAAAAACCAACACCACTCTATTTTTATTCAAATATGTGACCCTGAAAGTAGGAAATGAAACTAGGTATCACCTTTAGTAATAAATTGCATCAATTATATTTGTCTGTCTGAATGCTAATTTTTTAAGTCACTGAAATTGACAGCTTTTTAAACAAATTAACTCAGACAGTAGCCAAGCCGCTTCAGTACAACTGTCCTAAGTTGCCATGTGTTATGGCAAAACACACTGCATCTTGACTCCTGTAATCGGCTCTTGAGAGAGCAGAGTAAAAAACCTGTGATGCTTATGGCAGCTCCACGCCCAGAATATTGCCCATTCTGTGCACACAGAGGCGCAGAAAAGAAGAGCCACGCTGCGCTGGGTAGATCCCAGAGCAGAATTTTGCCAGTTGTTCCCTGTGGAGAGCAAAGTATCAGCCACGGTGCACGGGGAGAGCAGAATTGTGCCCGTTTCATGCACATGCTGCAGAATATTGGAGTAGAGATGTGCAAGGTGGGTGTTTGTTGGAGCAGAATGGGACCTGTTTCACGGGGAGAAGGAAAGCGGAAAATCTGAGCCCTGACGGACTGGGTGGCTCTGTGTGGGAGCAGAATTGTACCTGTTTTGCACGGAGGAAGGAGAACAGAACCACTAGTCGCATTGCACTGGGCAGCCCTGCGCGCAGAGCTGGCTCGCCCTGCACTCCCCTAGCAGAACACTGGAGTCCTGCTGCATGGGGCGGATCCGGGCACAGGGCTGTGCTCGCTGAACATGCCCAGGGAAAGCCGGGTACCCGAGGGGCAATGCCGCAGGCAGCTCTGAGAGCAGAATTGTGCCCCGCTCGCGCCTTGGGGGTGCTGCTCCCCGGCGGTTAGGCTTTATAAACCCGCCCTTCCGCTGCTCGCAGCCCAACACACGAAATCTCCACATCATGCAAGGGAAAGACAACACCCGCTGCCTGCAAACCACCTGCCTGCCAGGCCAGGAGGCACGGGCAGGGGCTGGGGACGCAGATCTTCGTACGCAGCAACTTACAGGCTTCCCAGGGCGTCTGCTCCTTCCCCCGGCTGCGCGGCTCGGTGGCTGCTCCTCCTGCAAGCAAGGCCGCCTGTGAGGAGTTGGCTCTGTCTGGGCTGGCAGCCGCAGCAGCCTTGAGGAGGGGGAGGGGGAGCAGCAGCTGGTTGGGGCGCAGAGACGCCTCTCCCGTGACTCAGAGGCAACAGCAGCACCTGTGACCGCCTGTCACCCGGCAGCTCCCTCCCCTGCGTGCTCTCCCCCTCCTCTGGGCTGGTGCATTGGATGGGAAACGCCTTACTCTGCTCCTTGCTCGTCCCCAGAGGCTGCAGGCGAGAAAGCAGCAGCAGCATCCACAGGCTGTTGCAAGCCTGATGTCTGCAGCAGGTCCTGCGTGTGGCCAGCGCTTCCCTCTGGAGCCTGGGTGTCTGCTCACACCGGCACCCCTCAGGGCTAAGCCCACGTGCTTGCTTGGGCGCTAGGCAGTTCTCTGGTGTGAGGCCAACTGCAGCTGAACTGAAAACCTGGCACAGGCCAGGGCTGGCTGGAATACACTCAAGACACACTTGATTTTTAAAAATATATATTTTGATGGCTAGTTTGCGCACAGCATTATGGAGGTACTAACTGCTCCCTAGTTAAAGCTGCATCTGCACTAATGCCAGGCATTCCTAAATAAATAAATAAATAAATAAATAAATACAATAAATCAGGAGCGCTCTCCCCAAAAATCACGATTGGCTGGGGAAAATGAGTTTGAAACCACATTTGTGGTTCTTTCCATTTGCCTCCTCATTTTTCGATCCTTTACAGTTCATGATTGCAAGCTTTTCTCTGCAACTAGGAGGGCTGGGGAGACTGTTTTGTTTTAAAGGAGAGGTGAGATTTTGCATGGAGTGCCATGACTCCAGGAGCTGGGATTGTAAGAGAAAACCCCCAAACATGGCAGGAATTGGCAACAGAGCTCAGGCTTTTGCTATGCCCAAAGATATAAACACATGCTTTAGAGAGACACTTCTGTGTTTGTTAGGAGTTCTCACAACCAAGCTCATTTTGAACACCAGATTTAAAAGGAAACTGTCCATCTATTGGATGAAAGCGAAAATGCTTTAAACAGAATGTTAAAGAACTAAGAAAATAGTTGTTGGCAGTCCGGCAGGTTATGGGATAGGAAGCCCATAAATACTAAACTGATGTTAATATTTTTACAAGTGCCATAGTTAATCCTGATAGAGACCCCAGCATTGTTTGGCTTCTTCCAATGATATCCTCCCAGAAGTTATTGTTGGCAGCTACCTGAACTTAACACAACTCTTCTGACAGTTTTACTAAAGGTTCATTTTTCAAAATGTTACATTTGGCACAAACACGCAAGCACTGCATGTGAATTGATTGAAAATATTAAATGTGTTACAGACCTTACACAAAGATATTTTTATAAATATTTACACAGTTTTCATTATGCATGGTATTTTTATAAGTATAAATGCTAGATATATACCCAGTATGTATACTTCTCCCCTCTATTGTCAGTGGCTGTTAAGCACTTTACTTCAGGGCGATTGGGAGTAATTCCTTTTACAGTTTATATAAATACAGTGTCACAGGACTGAGAAAGCATTTTCACTCTGTGGCCCTGATTTTGGAATGGTCAACATGCAGGTGGACTTCTGCACCCTCAGAGAGGCCCTATGAGGGCTATGGGTGGGCACAACCATCCAACCACACATAATGCATAGAGTTAAGGTCCCGATCCTGCAATTTTCATAATTCCCTCAAAAAACCCTACCACCTTTCAAATGAAGTCTCACACACTCAGAGTTGAAGTTAATTTTTTTTTGGAAAACTTTATAAAACCCCCTTCAGCAAGTACCGGAGGGGGGAAAAAACAGGTTTCACTTGTTAAAGGAAAATTGCAGTGATGGATTCTCATCGACTGAAGAGGTAAACACTAGTCTTCAGTATATAACTGAATTTCCAAACTTTTCTTTTTAAATACGTTCTTGTCACACTTTTCATACTTGTGTTACTGTGAATTGTTCTGGTGTCTGAGTTATCACCATCTTAATGGCCTGCTGTAGTGATTTGCTCCAAACTCCCTCTGATTTAAATGGGGCTGAATCTGTAAGATGCCTTGAATGGCCTCAAATGCTGTATTGACCTTACTGGAATCAACCTATGCTCTTTGACTCCAGCCCACAGAGAGATAGGGCAGAATACAACTCTATTATTTGTTACGAAGTGCTTCTCTGGAGATGAATACATGGGAGGCTGGAGGCTTTCATGTTTGTTTATAATAAGTTGAGTTATTTGTTATAAAAGTTTGTGTATAATAGCATTCATGATAGGAAATGCTATTGGTGAGTTCAAGGGCTTTCCATTCCACTTACTGTTTTCATTTGTGTATAATTATTTTTTTAAATGTTTAGACAAACACACTCCATGTTTGGTTTCACACCCAGGAGGTGAATTTGCTTCCTCAGTTGGACTGCTGACAGTTTGGAGTTTTGTGCAGGAAGTTATTTCCCTTGCTACTCTGTGTGGTGGGGCTTCCCAGTTACAATGAGAGTACCAACTCAGCAGCTGGAACTAGAGCATAGTCCCACTGCTGCTGGAGAATTGGAATGGCTCTATGCCCTCGCAGCCCTTAGTAGTAGTGGCATGACCAGAGCACACAGTATTTCAGTGATTCTTAGTTGCTCCAACAGCCTACATAAATTGAGAGCAGCTTCTGGGCTGCTCTAAACTTAAACAGGGGGCCAGGCATAGACTGTGGGTACCACAAAGTTGTCTTAAAGTGGTCTTTGTCACATCATCTCCATTCACACCCTGAGAACAGTTTCGGAAGAATGGTGAATGGGACGCACGGTCTGAAAAACACAAGTATCCCCTGTGCAGCAAATTGGTACTTTCAGGCCCCAAGTAATGCTACTTACAAAAAATATATATATTCTTCTTAGCTCAATATTACCCCAACTGTTATGAGATACAGGAGTTGCCAGTTAGGTTTCTTGGTGGAATGGATTTCCATCCCACCCCAAAGGGAAAAAGAGAATCCTTTATTAAATCTTACTTCTGTGAGTCCCTTTCTAACTGCTGCAATGTTCACATCAGGCTTTGCGATTGTTATTTGTTTGCCAGAATGCACTTATGCATTATCGGTCTTTAAACTGACTACTGTTGAGACTGTGCTTTCATTCTAAAGACCCTGTTATAAGCCCTTAAGGTAACGTTGGGGTTCAAGTTTGTCGTGCTACTTGTTAGTTCACAGGTGAAATTTGTGTCGGTGGTAGTTTGAAGAAAATCCAACCAACCATTTTTGAGGACTGGATAGTCAAATAGACACAGATGCATATGACTGCCAACATTTAACAAGGGCTCCTGCAAAAATTTGTTTCAGTCATGGCACACATCCCAGCCCCTTTGAATGCCTTCACTGGCTTTTTGTCTCTTTGATCATTTGTTTCAAGATCCTCACTTTCAAGGATCTGCACAAGCTCACTCTCACCTATATTGCTGACGTAGTGTTCTTTTGCTCCTGTGATATACAGGTCTGTCACATCTTACACGCATTTAACATGTGCGATTTCAACTTTACGCGGTCGGCAAAAAGAGAAAAACAACAATTTTAATACTATACCTGTAGTGTGGGCGATCTCGCCCGCCATTGAACTCAATGGGGTTTTGGCTATATGCGGTTTTCGCTTTACGCGCTAACCGCGGAACCCCCACGTAAGATGAGACAGACCTGTACCACATTTGTCCAAGTCCTCTTCTCTTACTGCTCCCTTTCTCTTCTCCATCTCTCAGCTATACAGTCTTTCATATTGTCCCCCAAGTTTGGATCATTCTCTCACCGCTTGTCCATGAAGTAACTCTCTCCTTCTTCAAGCCCATTTCTGTTAGGAATCCCATTCATCCTACTTTCCTTATATGCTTATCCTTACTGTCATCTTTCCCTTTCCCCAATTCATTCCAGTATCTTCCTGATTGTAGAGTTAGATTGTTAGCTCTTCATGATGGGGAATCTTTTATCTATCCTGTAATGTGCCAGGCACAACTATAGAGATATATAAGTAGTAATACTGCTTAGATCGTATTATAAAGAAATAAAGGATTAATAGTGCAAAAAAGTCCTGCTCAGATGTATATAAGCTTATAGAAAAACAGTTTAAACATAAAATACACAATTCAACTTGTTTGTATAGTCTTACTGGAGGAGTAGTTTAATAGAAAATGCATTTTCCCCCTACTGTAGGATATACACATCAGAAGAAGAATCAAGGTTGCTAGGGGAACCTGAATTCCTAGTTTCTCAATTCCCGTGTAATTAAAATCTCAACATTAACACTGTATAATAACATACAGCTACTTATAAATGGATTGCAAAGTAGGAGTGGAAATGCCTGTCCCATTCCAACCAAGGATTTATGCTTTCTCTCTATAATTTAAAGCTTTCATAGGTAGGAACTTGTGCTGGAGTTGAAAGGTTGGTCTTAGTTAAAGTTCCTAATTGACATTAGGCATACTAGTCCCAATTCAGATCAGTACTTAAATCCCACTTCTAGTATGTCATATGGCAATTAGAATGGATTTATATGTGCCCCATTGAAGTCAATGGCACTTTAGCATTTATTTCACTCTGGCATCTGAAGAAGTGAGGTTCTTACCCACGAAAGCTTATGCTCCCAATACTTCTGTTAGTCTCAAAGGTGCCACAGGACCCTCTGTTGCTTTTTACAGATTCAGACTAACACGGCTACCCCTCTGATACAGAACTTAAATGTAATTTGCAAACCGATTCCTTTGTGTTTTGAAATTGTCAATTTATGGCTTTGAAACTGACAAGGCATGTACAAGGGCTTTATGGTCATTAAAGTATACCCCTTTACACCTATCTACACCTAAAAAACCTTGGGTTGACCTAGCTACGTTGCTCAGGGTGTGAAAAATGCACATCCCAAGAGATGTAGTTAAACCAATCTAAATCCTGGTATAGACAATGCTTGGTCAATGGAAGAATTCTTCCATCAACCTAGTTCCTGCCTCTTGAGGGGATGGATTAACTACAGTGATGAAAAAAACCTGTCTGTCACTGTAGCAACTGTCTACACTACAGCGGTGCAGCAGTCTACACTACAGCGGTGCAGCGCACAGTGTAAACTCAAAAGAAGTTGAGAGTTTAAACAGAATGTAAATGTTTTTCAAAAAAAAAAAAAAGCTTTGGTCATAAATAAGGAAGTTGCACTCCAGGCCTACAATATTTTTCAAAAGCCA